CAAAAAAAAAAAACAAAACATCTTAAACTTTAAAGCATTGTATGTAATGTAAATTAACCACCACCAATTCCATGAAGTGCATAACAGAAATCGATATGGCGGTTAGGCCTAGATAAGAAATTAGCTCTCTAGCGACCCCATTTTGTTTGATGGGGTCAATAATGGAGGGGTCCCCTCAGATGATGTGTGGTCATATGCCTACAAAGTTGCGTGGTGATCGGTGAAACCCTTGAGATGTTATACACCTTTATGTGATGAGCCACGCCCTCCACAATATTCATTGCCTTATAGAAGCTCAGTTTTAGTAAGTTTTCCAACTTTTGCCAAGAGGGAACTTTAGATATTGGTCCCTTGATTATGTTCACCGAGTTTCATGCAGATCGGTCAAACTTCCTAGGAAGAGACCGATTTTAAGTGTTTTTCAAAAAATTCAAAATGGCAGAAAAATCCATATCACCGGAAGTTATGGGTTCTTGAGGCAAATTTGTTCCTCATGAGGAGAGGCATCTCTGTGCAAAGTTTCATGTCTCTACAACATACGGGGCATGAGATATGCCCATTCAAAGTTGCAATTTCAATCGGTTGCTATAGCGCCCCCCTTTGGCCGATTGATGTAATATTGCTTCATTCGCATCCTCCCATGACCCTCTACCACTGTGCCAAATTTCACATGGATTGACCAAGTCAGTGAGGAGAAAAACATGGAACAGACACACCCACACACACACACACACACACACACACATACACACACACAGTTTTCGTCATTATATAGTAAGATAAGACATATTAAGATAATAAGATAAGATATGTCTGAAAGTAGACATTGACATAAACATATAATTAGCATTGTGGAGATAAGAGAAATTAGAGCCTTTACTGCTGCTCCAGGCAGTAGGGAGTTGAGGAAGAGGGCCATTGCTAAGAGGTAAAGGAAAAATGGAGGAGCTGGGGTTTTGTTGAGAGATGCCATTATGGGTCATTTGCAGCTCAACCAATGGTAGCTGAAACTGTGTCCATGGGTAGGGTTTCACACATAGGTGTGAAAACCTGAGGATTTCTGGGTAAGTAAGTTCATGTACTGTAAGGCTAAGGTTACAGTTATAGGACATGTTTACATTTCCCAATGTAAGTCCAGTTTTAGTCACAAATGAACAACTTCATCTGTGGGAAACTGAGAAAGTCTTGGTGGTGGCAAGTAGGTCGGTACAGGTTGGAGGCTAATCCTGAGGCCAACCACATGAGGAGCCAGTTGGTGTGCAGGCTGGACAGGCCAACAGGCTGCCCGAAGGCTAGCAGGCCACAGGTTAGTTGACTGGGGTGCATGCTGGTGGCTTGCTGATGGTGGCCTTTCTTTCCACATTGTAATTACTGCGCCTTTGGCTTTGATGGGTGCTCCTCATAGGTTTGGGTTTGTCCTTGATGGGTCCATGACCAGATGTTGGGAGGTCTGATGCTGTCATTTTTTTCTGCTTGCTGCGCTGTATCTGATCTCAAAACTTGCTATGCCTGATAGCATGTACAGGCTGCTGTTCAGTGTTGGTCTGAGCACCATCTTATTTAACAGCCAGTAACGCTGATTGTAGGGTTGAGTTTCTTCACATGGACTGATCTTTCCTATACTGGACATCCACATTTGACTGTTGAGTAGCAGAGGGCTAGTGTAGTGAATCACAATGTCTGTGGATTTGTGTCCCAGCTGGTGCTGCTGAGTTTGGAGAGGATGTTGTTTCTTGGAAAAACTTTGGATCCTGTCCTCTCAGTATGCATTTTGAATGAGAGACATTGGTCTAGAGTGATGCTTTAGGAAGTTCGATGTTCACAATGTTCCAGGTTTGCTCCAGACTGCGTTAGTAGCAATTTACATGTGGCTTTCCAGTTGTGCAGGTGGAAGACGCATACCTGGGTTTTTATGGCCAAGAACAACAAAGTTTTATCAGAAAGTAGGGCTGTGTCAATAACCGCATCACCGCAATACCGCGGTCACGTGATGCCTACCGCGGTGAAGAGGTCATCACCGCACAAAAAAAAAAAAAAGAAAAGAAAAAAAAAAAAAAGCTGATTCATCATGGCAGCGGATCTGGTTCCCAAGCCAAATGTTAAAAGAATACTCTGACGATTTGGGAGTTATGCCCTTTCGCTATCATTTTCATATTGAGACAACATGATGGATATCGTTCTTGTGTCTGTAGGTCCAGTGGCTGGGTCTCAGCGGTTAGCATTGGGGTCAGGACGTCCGGCCCTGTGATCCGCGGAGGGATACACCGTTGAGCAGGCACATACGTAGCTTGTAAACAAAACTCAGCTGTTTATTTAGCCTAGCGATATCTCCGGATTGTAGTAGCTGCAATGGACGACTTTGAATGTGATTTTGAGGAGTTTCTTGTAGCGGACACAGACCCAGAGCCATACCTGTTTGAGCCGGAGCATACAGATGAGGAACTCCCAGGTGTTGGATGCTGAGCGGGCGAGAAGAGAGGCTGAATCCTCTTGAGCGGCTGAGCAGCAACTGGCCGAGGGGAGACTGAGGTCAGGGGTGGACTGGTGGTGTAGCTGCGGGGCTAGCTAACATATTCCTACGGAGGTGGAATCATTTTGCTGCACAGAATGGGATTCGGTGCTACCATCTTTGGGGAGATATATCATCAGGAGGAAAACTGCCGCAGAGAGTGCATCACAAGGATTGAAAACTTTGCAGCAATCACTGAGTTAAACTGGAAAAAACGCCCAGGCCTGCAGGAGCTGATGGACAACTTTCAGTCGAATGAGTAATATCTTCCGTGTCGTCTCTTTGTTTGCTTTTACCGAGTGACCTAGCGTACCTGTCCCAGAGCCAGCTGCAGCTGTTGCTCACCAGTGTATCCCTCCGCGCAGGACGTAAACACACTGTAGTTCATGTATCAAACCTCTTCTGAAACGACTAAAACGGACTCTTGTTTTTTGAATTAACGTGACGTATCACCGCCATACCACGGTGATACGTCACTCTGTCACCGCTGTGAGAAAAAATACCTACCGTCACAGCCCTATCAGAAAGTTTAACATGCATAGTAGGAAACTTTCCAAATTCTCCAGAGGTGAAATAATTTTGTGACGTCTACTAGGCTAGACACCATAAAAGATGTTGTACATCTCCCAGAACACCCAGTGTTGGTAAATAGGTTTAAATGTTTCAATGTCTTTTTGATTCAGAGAATGGAAAACATCACTGTCTCTTTTTACTTTAACCTAACCATGTTCATGAACATTGGACATTACCTTTATCCAGCCTTTGTCTTTTGCCTCCTGCTCTACAGCTTTATTGTGTCTGCTAATCTTGCCATGATAATTATAATATTACGGGAGAAAACACTACATGAGCCCTTGTACATTTTCACTGCATTTTTATCTGTCAATGCTCTGTATGGTTCCACTGGTTTCTTCCCCAGATTCCTCATGGACCTTCTGTCTGATACTCATTTCATCTCTCGTCCTGCTTGTTTTACTCAGATTTATGTTATTTACACATATGTTTTTTACGAACTGACCATTCTGAGCATTATGGCATATGATAGATATGTTGCTGTTTGTCATCCTTTACATTATCACAGAAAGATGAACTCTAAAACTGTCTACACTTTGACATTTTTTGCTTGGGTCTGTCCAACCTGTTACCTTACAGTGTGCATTATTATGGTTGTCAGGCTTCCTCTATGTGGTAACAATATACAGAAGGTATACTGTGCCAGCTGGAATATTGTAAAATTATCATGTGTTACCAATGCTCTTTACCTTATTGTTATTTCTGTGGCGACCACAATTCTAGCCTCTTTTTTTTGTGGTTTTATCTTGTATACTCATCTGAGAATTGTGATTGCTTGTTGGAAGTCATCAGAGGTCAGAGGAAAAGTATTACAGAGCTGTCTTCCACATGTTATTTCATTTCTGATCTATCTCTTCACATCATTAAGTGATGCTGCTCTGAGTCGACAAAATCTTAAAAAGATTAATCCATTTGTGGTTATAATTGTGTCACTAGAATTTGTTATTATTCCTCCAGTTGTAAATCCTCTTGTTTATGGCCTTAAATTACCAGAACTTAGAAAACACATCTTCAAGATATTATGCTTAAAACCTCAAACAAAAAAGATTTCCTGTACATTACCAGAGTCTACTCTGATCATGTGAATGCTGTGTGTAGTAGGGAATAAATCATACACAAAATATATGAATCACGTCAAAGCAAAATGATAAAGTTTCTGCTGTCCTTATCAACTATCTTGCACGACAACCAGGACTAGACAAATTGAGATTGTCTCCTTTAAAGTAGTTTAACTACAGTATTGTGATAATAGACTAATGGCACAAAGTGAAATGTCTGCTGAAAATGCAACCATTGCTTATAGCATGAATTTTTAAATGTGCTTTCTTGGGTTTCATTTGAGGTTGATGTGACTTGTAACTAACTTAGAATAATCATGTATATAAATTAAAATGTATGTCATTATTTAATATTCTATATTATTAATAACAATCTAGTGAATTTATTTTTTAAATTCATCCCCATAACACCAGATAATCTATTACGGGCAATCAGGCCACATAATGCTTCATTTACATTCCCCACATCAACTGTATTTACTTTCTTTTCTTTTCTTTTTCAGATACTACAACCCCAATTTCAAAAAAGGTGGGACATTGTGTAAAATGTAAATTAAATCAATTAAAATGCAATTACTTGTAAGTCCTTTTTCCCCCACTTATATTCAAATGAATCCAGTCCAAAGAAAAGATATTTAACGTTCAAACTGATAAATTTTATTGTTTTTTGTAAAATGTACTTAATTCTAAATTTGATTCCTGCAACACGTTCCAAAAAAGTTGGGACATTCCACAGGTAAACAGGTTAATTGGTGACAAATGATAGTATCATCAATAGGTGTGAAAGGGGCATCTTAGAAAGGCTCAGGTGTTCACAAGCAAGAATGGTATGGGCACCTTTTGAAAAACTGTGGGGGCAAACAGTCCAACAGTTTGAGAACAACTATTCTCAATGCACAATTGCAAACAATTTAGGGATTTCACCATCAACAATCTGTAATATCATCAAAAGATTTGGAGAACCCAGACAATTATCTGCATTTAAGGGACAAGGCTCAAAAACAACACGGAATGGCTGTGACCTTTGACCCCTCAGAGGGCACTGTATTAAAAACTGACTTGACTGTATAAAGGATAGTACACCATGGACTCAGGAACACTTTGGAAAATCATTGTCAGTAAACACACTTCATATACAAATGCAAGTTAAAACTCTACCATTCAAAGTAAAAAACATATATTAACAACATCCAGAAA